TGGCTAAACAACTACAGGACGCTCTCGTAAAGCGAAGTGAGGAAACGAGGAACTGGGTAAGGTTTCAATAAGGGTGTGAAAACAAAATCTGTTAGTCTAGGATATCCAAGTGGGATATCAAAGCGAATCTAATTTCGTTCTATGCCCTATACACTGACATTTTTGATCTTAGGCCTTGAAATAAGTCTTATATATTTCACCACACCGCCATTCTAACCATCTCGGATGATATCGTTTCATTTTAATGAAAGGTGTAATAAGTACCTATTGGATTTTAGTAAATGAAGAAACTATTACGCAACTTAGCGAATTTAAAAACATGCTAAAATAAAGTTTATTTGGCATTTCATTGTGAGACTTTCGGATTTTTTCACTGCTGACAATCCCTTGTTATTAAATCAATCGAAGAGATTCATTTTCAACTTTTTAAAGGTTTTACTCATGTAAGTAATTAAGTGTAATTTTGAATACATTCTTAAGCAATTCCCTGAGCATTCCAGCAGCAGCATTAGCTGAGATGAACCACATCACATACCTGCAAGATTATCTTACGTTTTTCTAGCTTGAAGACTGGTGGTATGATGCGTACAATGAAATCCGAGAGCCACTCATCCCTTACATCTCCATAGCATCTGGTAACTCAATGTGGACATCTCTCAAAGGTTCACAAATATGCCGCGCTGCTGATGACATCTACTACTGGATGCAGTTTTGGGATAAAATTAGAAAGTGAGGCCTTTAAGCCGGTAGAGTTTAGCGCTAACCATTCTGAATTCTCATTTCTTTCCAGCTTTTTGACAACTCGGTCGGGTTTTGAAGGGTTAGATAAACACATTTGGCACTAATGACAACTTTTGCTGATGTATTTGAGAATCAATTCCATAAGATAGCAATAATCGCTGAAGCGAGTGCTTCCTTAGTTCAGACACACCAAACGAAAGTATGTAAACCAAAAAGCTATATCCTCCACCGATAAAAGAAGTAATTACAATTGCCTCAACTACCAACCGTCTTTTTTTTTTCAGAGAAAAACTACCAGTGACGAGAAGCCGCGGAGATGTGTGGGACATGCATCAATACCATTGCCTTTTCAACAGTTGCCGAGTACCAGAACTACCAAAGGATAGAATCTATCGATATTTTAAGACAGGTTCGTTAGAATTTTCTTTAACAACTGCAATGCTTCCGGGAAAATGGGTGCATAGGAAGGTAATAATGAAATATAATTACTGCTGCTCCGCTCTTGTTTTATTCATAGTTTGAGCTGCAAAAACGTATTTCCAAATGTGTGCTAGAAAAAATGTATAGCAGGATATTCTTTCTATATCCAGTAGTCTTTTCAGCTTGCACTGTTTTCAAAAAATCATTTTATTTCTATTGAGGAAAAATTCAGTAAAGCTACTTTTAACGCTTTCTTTTGTACTGTTGCATTTCAGAAGCTGAAGGCGAATGCCCATCACACATTACCGTACTTTGCCGTGGGAATATATGGCGATTGGAAATGTTAAGAAATGGATTATTGAAAACACCCGATGAGCTTCATCATGTGAGGATGTCTAAATTTTGATGCAGTCGATGGTGATCTTACTATATAAGCAGCATTATTTGAAAAACTAATAAAAATAGGTCAAAAGCAGAATAAATTTGATTTAGATGCTTTCATTCATCGACAAAAACTCCAAAGAAGTCGACCATTGTGTTGCAACACTCACTGCTGACAAAAGAGACACTTGGGCGAAGGTGATACATATTTATGGATCATCCGATTAACGCAGAACATGCATCCAAGTCCTTGGAATTATAAATTTCCACTGTTGCTGTGAAAATCGGAATACAATCTTTGTCATGGTATTTTCTATATTCTTATCCAGCTGAATTCTGGTCAAATTAGTTTATAGAACACAAAATCT